GCTCCATTCTGCACTTTGCTTTAAGAACGTATTCAACTTTGAGATGCACTATAACACATTAAAAACAGCAAAACACGCAGATGTTATCTGCTGGTACCAAAAAAATAAAGGGAAAATTATAAAAACTATTCTCAGATGTGGAAATCTAGCTGGATCAAACTTTTACTCCCTGTAGGCTGCATGGGAAAGCGCTGCTCTGGCAGCAAACATGCATCTGAAGGACTGGGGCCATCCAGGAAAAGTGTCAACTTTTCTATTTCCTTCCTTAAACTCCCTGAAGGATTTCAGTGCAGATGCAGAAGTGCCAAGCAAAACTGCAGACTCTTAGTGCTCACAGCTCTCCCAGCAGCTCAGGATGGGAGAGTCACAGAGCCCAGGCTGCCACAGAGACTTGTCTCTCTCCACAGGAATCCCACTTCTCAAACCCTCTCTAACAAGAATGGTAACAGAAAGTCTATAAAGATACAGCCTATTAAAAACAACAGTAACCTGTTAAAACCCTCCTCTGTAGGAAAATGGTCTGTAGGAAAATGGTGTTTGAACACTTCTTTTTAAAAAGACAGGTATCACTTTGATGCCACCTCACTTAGAAAAAAAAATATTTTAACAATCTGTTCAATTCTGACATCCAAAAAAATAGGTTCGGGTTTTCTAAATGTTTACAATCCAAGTTAAAAAGTGTCAGTTAATCATAATATCAATTCATTACAATACAACCCTCTACCTCCTCCATATTAATTCCACAATAAACGTTTGGCTCTGGTGCCAGCAGCATCGAGTCCCTATAGTTGTGCTACTTCCACAGAACAGGGAATGAAAAATGGGCAAAGTTTTAGTCTGTCACTTCCAGAGTCAGCACTGCTCTAACCCCTGTCCCCTGGCCAAGACAGAAAGATGGAAAAAAAGGACTTACAAATACAAATTCAGAAGAAATTAATTACAACAATTTTTTTTTTTTCAGTTATTATCCTGAAGTGTTTTTCTATCTTGTATATGTAACATTACACAAAAAAGATATTAAAGGTACCCTAGATCATTTACTTTGGAAAGTGTTTACTTTCCTGTACACGTTTGATTCCTGTTCCAAAGTCCAGAAAGATAAAATCCACTTGTGTGCACGTAAAATGCTTTGAACACACAAAGCACCAGGCAAGTGCTAAGAACACTGTTACCAGCGTGTGGCAGGAACAGCTGTACAGGGGAAAGAAGGGAAGGGAGGGGAGGGGAAGGGAAGGGAATGGAAAGGAAGGGAAGGGAAGGCAAGGCAAGGCAAGGCAAGGCAAGGCAAGGCAAGGCAAGGCAAGGCAAGGCAAGGCAAGGCAAGGCAAGGCAAGGCAAGGCAAGGCAAGGCAAGGCAAGGCAAGGCAAGGCAAGGCAAGGAAAGGAAAGGAAAGGAAAGGAAAGGAAAGGAAAGGATACAGCCAAGAGCTCTCTATCCGTGGCATGTAGCTGCTTGAGCATTGGCTGAGGTGGAGGAGACACACTTGTGTCCTTATTGCACTTACTGACTCTAGGTGGTTGCTTTCAGTCAAGTCTGAACTACAAGACTATGACTCATGCTCCTTCAACAGAAAAGGAATGTCCCAGTCATCAGCACGTTCAGTGGCATAATGCACAAGTGTGAGGGGATGGGAAAGCTGAACCAGTGCCCCAGAAACTACTCCATGAAACGACATGTAATGCTTCGATCATGAAGTTTTGGAAGGAAATTGCTTCATAATTGTACAAGCCAAATCTTCAGTGCAGTAGCCATCAGAGTCAGTCCTGCAAACTGGGCTTCCAGCTGCAGCCCCAGCATGCAGGGCCTGGGATAGCCCATTTACAGGCTGCATTTATGATGTTTGCAAGACAACCATCACACTACTGCTTTATACAAGGTACAAGCTGATTGCACTGAACTTGCAATGGACATTATTGGAATATCGGAGTCAAAGCAGCACTAGAAGTGGACCTGGAAATACCATATTATCTTAATATCCAAAATGTCTTTCCTTAGGTTGGTATTTTACACTATTTATAGCTTTTAGCCACCACACATTTTAAACAGTCATCTAATAGACATTCTGGATTCAAACAATTCTTAAGGTCAGATTAATCCTATTACATGTTCTCTAGTTGTAAAATGGCACAAAGTTACACCTGACTTAACAAGATAAACCTAAATAGAGATCCTTTGCATGCCATGCAGGTCTATCTAGATTTGGTATCAGTTACAGAGAAAGAAAAGAAGTCCTTCACAAAGGCAGAGGACTGTCATTAAGGCTAAAGCTTTCTAACAGAGTCACTTCCACTGGTACTTTTGCAGCATCACATCATGGCAGATGCATTCATTCAGGGAACTTTATCAAAATCTGGCCCCCAGACAGCCTGTGTGACTCAGCTACTCCCTGGGCAGCTCTGGGCAGTTGCTGAGTGTCTTCTAACCAGCAATCCAAGTCAGGCACGAACATTCAAATCTTCAGAGCTTGGTACTTAAATTGTACCCACAAGGTCTGTACATACTCCAGCATCCTGCAGCAATCTTGTAACTCTCTAACCCTGTAGCCCCTTGATTCTTTCAGAGTCCCAGGGTAGGATTTAGATTAGGACCTTCAAGGTCCTACTGTTTTGCAAGTGCAGTCTGTCCTTGCAGACCAAAGCAAGGCTGCAGAGTTACAGATTTGCACTTGTGTCAGAACAGCAGTTGCAAAGTACAGCTGAGAGTTTTGACAGCAGCAACTGCAGCTGTGGAAAACTCTAATGAGCAGGCAGCCTAACCACCAGGCTTTGGGAAGAGTTCAACTCTTCGGTGGCTCTTTATTCCTCCTTTTTTGTGTCTGTGATTTCCTAAAGAAAGGGACTGGAAAAGGGGCAGAAACAGGACAGAAAGGAAGAGAAAATGAGAAAGACCATCATCTCCCCAAAAGCCTCCATGAATTAACACAACAGAAGCAATTTGTTTGAAGCAAATCTTTGGCTTTCTTATGAACTTTGGGGGGTTAATGGATTTCAATTTCACATTAGAAGATATGCTAACCCTAAGATGCAGGTTCCTAAGTGCCATTACTGCAAATTATGGTTTCTTTGGGGTTTTGGCTTTTTTTTTTTTTTCGTTTTTCAGAAAGCTATTTAGGTTAGTTTAGTTGCCAAATATTAAATAATGGATTTGGTATTGGTGTCTGTTAAGGATGCCCACTAATTAAAATTGTGTCTTTTATTTACCTGATTGATAGTGATGCCTTGTGGTGTATATATATGTTTTAGTCCAGGCACTTCTGAAGACAAGGGTTCTTAATTCAAGAAGACATTTAATTGTGGAGGGGAAATCTTTCTGTGTAGGAGCCATTCAGCCCTGCTGGGCTGGCCTCAAGCTTCACCAGTCAACAGCTCTGAAGCTGCACTGGCTGTTCCTGCTGTGCATCACATGCCCCTGGATTCAAAACCAGAGCAAGCAGAGAGGCAAAAAAAGCCTCACCACACCCAGGTGCAGGCCCAGGCAGAATCCAAAACCTCAGCTCCAAACAGGAGAACAAAGAGGATCCAATGCAAGAGCCTGCCCTGCTGCAGCCCCGCATAGCTAGTGGCACATGTGAAGGGCATCTGTCTTCCAGTCTAGGAGGTGAAGATGGGATCTGAGAATGCTTCAGAACGGTGAGATGCTGATGGGAATCAGCTAAGAGAAGGGTCAGAACATCTGAGACAGACCTAAGGGACTTGGTATGCATGATGACTGGCTGTATGGGCACGGCAAGCAGGCTCTTGAAACATGCCCATCCCATGCACTGAAACCTTCCACAAATCCAAGGCAAGAGTAGCAGGCAGCACCCTAGAGAGGCCTTCATGTCCCCAACACACCCACCACTCTTCCACCCAAACATTATCATCCAGGTGCTTGGACTAAAGGGAATTTCACCCTGACTGGTTACTTCTCTTTCTCAAAGGCAGCTGCACACTGATAAATGTCCTCAGAAGAGAGAGTGGACGGGGATTAACTGCAGCCTTTTAACTTCAGCCTTTCAAACCTGGTCACATGGCTCCCGAGGAGAACTACGACTGTTCTGTCCCTTGTTCAGACCTCGTGCAAAGTCTTTCTGCCAGGGGCAATGGAGGGAGGGACAGCAGTAAAGCAACCTCAGCCCTGCAAAAACGGGACACCCTAATGAAGATCCTGACAGACCCGGACACAGCCGCCGAGCGCTGCAACAAGAATCTACGTAATGCTACTCTAACAGTTCCTTAAAAATGGCAGCAGTAAAAGGAGGCTTTAAAGAAAGAAGTTACCCCCAAACTCTCAGGGAGTGGAGCTGAGAGAGCTTCTGTTAGTTTCAATTTGCTCCAGAAATCATCATGATTATTCGTTACTTAGGATGCTAAAAGAACAGGAGGATACTTGAAATAAAAGGCTGTGCATGCACAACACCCACATGAATAAACTCCAGTGCCCTTCCCTGGCCACTGAGCTGAGCCCTCCCTTTAGAAGCAGTAGGGGAATTTATCACCAAATATACAGTATATTGTAATGGAATGATAGCAGGAAACAACACTGATTGGAGTCTGAACGTGTCCTCCACGTCATGTAAATCTACTGTTTAACGCGGCAGAAAAGACGGTAAGGAAAGAAAAGCTCAATTCACCTAGCCTGAGATCAAAACTGTCATGGCAATATTGGCAGGTTAGACCCTGATTCTTTAAATAGTACATTGCCTTTGTTAAACAAAAGTCATTCTTTTATTACATAATAGAGATTATAAATAAATGTAAAGTGTGCATGCAGTCAACTGCATATTATACAAGCAATATCTATGTTATTAATTGTTTTCTTTGGCAGGCCAGAATCCAGCTGGACATGCAATATTTACATATCAAAATCCTTGGTGTGTTCAAGTCATATTGGATGCAAGTGAAAATATATATGTATATATATTTACCGTATACACACACACACACATATATATGTATAAAGGTATATATACACCTCTGCATATATACTGTATACATATATATATACACATAGGTATATGCTAAAAGTGGATTTCATCTTTTTCTGATTCAGGTGATGCAGGCCTTGAAACACTAAAAATATCCTGACAGGGTATCTGGGCAGGCCGCTGGGGTGATAAATGAGACTGGGGGGAAGAGATCTGGGGTACGTTCTTTTCAGACAATATTTTTAAAATTTCTGCCACCTGTTTCTCAAGGGCAGCCATCCTACTGCTTAGCAGCTGGATATCTTCTTTGAGTTCATGCTTGACTTCCTGCAGCGTGGTTTGTAAGGCCTGCTCAGGAATAGGGTAGAAAGGGTGCCTAGCATCAGCCTGAATGGGGCTGTGCTCCAGGGGGCTGCGAGCCTCACCAGCTTTATCCAAGCGAAGGTCACTTTTTGTGATTCCACTGTCACAGGAGTCTGTTTTCCGCAGTGGGTTCTTATTGACGCCGTTCTCCGAGTCATTGCACTTGGGGTCATCGGCCAGCAACCCCATGGACTCGGCCTTCGTGACGTTGTTCCAGTCCTCCTTCTTCTCCTCGTGGGTCCCCATCGTGTTCTTCAGCCGAAGCCACCCTTTCCCATTCCCGTTTTTCATCCTCATGGGACTGTTGACTTTCAGACATTTCTGGTCTCCGTTTCCGTTTGGCTTGAGCTCCATCGCATCCCTGTTGTTCTGCTTCACGGCCTCACTGGTCTTCATGTAAGCCAGGGACGTCTGGATGGGCGTGATCTGAGACACAGTGACCACACTGGTGCCTGTGATGGAGGCTCCGTTCTGCACGCCCCGGCTCTCCACCTGAAGCTGGTTCCTTTCTGGGTCAATGTGGGCTGAGCCTTGATTCCGCATCTCCTTTTGCTGTTTGAACTTCTGGAAGAGTTTCCTCACAGGGTGGTCCACAGGGATGCTCAGCGTCACCTCGTTCTTCTGGCGCAGGCGCTCCTCTTCTTCCTTCTTGACATCACTGATCTTCCGAAAGATGATCTATGGGGAATAAATCCACAACAGAGTCAGGACCCAGGGGACATCGTGTACAACAAACACTACTGGGAGCTGAGGAAACAGTACTGACAGAACAGGCATTTCTCCTTCCTTTCTGTCCTGTTTCCTTACAGTGAGTTCAAATGGAACTGATCAGGACACAGTAACCTCAGATATATTCCACTGCACAGACAGGGTACATATATGCACAAACATAAACACTTTAAGTGTAGATTAAAAGTTGGTTTCAGCTTTATTTCTGATGCAGAAGATAGAGCATTGAAGAGCTAAAAATATCCTGACAACAAGAGAAGGAAAACTGAATTAAGAGAAGAAAGAGAGTAAGAACCCAAATATATTACTCACACTCATACCTGCTCTGTCACTAGCTTTAGTACAGATCAAAAGGAAACAGTAATTCAGTGGAGACTATGCAGCTGTAAGTTTAATTCAATGTACAGACCCTTCCAGGGGCTGGGAAATCCAAATGTACTCAATACTTTTTAGCTCTGCCTATTGTTAGTTTTGCAGGAGTGGCTGGAGGGTGCAATTAGGTTCCCCATGTGCCATGTTCCGTGGCTTCACACAGCAACAGAAGCATTTCCTGGGGAGTTTATATGTCTAATATGTGTAGTGGGATCATCATTGGGAAGCACTGTAAGAGGGGGGTGTGATTATAAACCCCAGCAATAGCCACTGTTTTGTGATGCCCTGTCACTTCATGCTGCAGTTACTTCTGCCTGCAGCATCTCTCAGGCTTCTATAGGAAAAGGCATCTGAGCTTTAAGCTGCACAAGGATCCACAGAGTAAAAACCTCTCTGTTGATTTTATACATGTTATTCATATGAAATATATAATTTTATTTTAGGTTCATCCAGTTTTCTTGAATGTGGGACTGAGGCAGGATAGGGAAACTCTGGTTCTCTGGAGGACCATAGGAAAGGGAAAACCAGCACATGGTTAAATGCAAATATGGACTATGTAGGGATAGTCTTGGTAAGAGAAGTGAAATAGAGCCCCTGCAATACAAACAAAACTCTGTGACAGTCAGATGTAGGTTTTGAAGTATCTGCTTGATTATCCATATTTCAGTATCTATTTACTTTTTATAAAAAACCTTCTCACGCCTATCCCTATTTGCAAAGAAATGGTTGCTTTTAAGTCTCACATCCTCAGAAGCCAGCAGAGGAGTGCCACGATGGATACAGCTCCTTCCCTGTGTGAATCTGGGATGAGCTGGACTTCAAAGCTTCATTAGAGAGCTTTCAAACACTGTAAATATATCCTTGTGTGCTGCTGATAGATGCAGCTGCTCATAATAATTTGGAAATTTAACATGTTTATTAGAATCTCAGTTTTAAAAAAACACAAACAAGACAGAAACATGGAAGACACTTTCATCTGACTCCTCTGACCTAGATGCAGCAACACATACACTCATTTGGAAGCTCCCCTTCATTAGTGCTTACCCTCATGGAGCAACTTTCTCAGACAAGCCACTGGGAACAACAAACAAACGCAAGAGAAGTTGTCCTTGATTCAAAATTAAGTAATGGCATTTAATTGAAGCCACACACCCCCTCTAAATGAGGATGAAGATTTGGAAGGTGCGTTGTGTTGCTTTGTTTGTGTCTGTCTTTCCCTGGAGGGCAGCGTGGCACCTCTGGCAGATGACACAATGCCAACCAGCTGCAAGGATGTGTCCCGAAGATGCGCCTCAGAGAAGATAGCTGGTTCCTCCACTGTTGTCTCTCTCTGATTGTGCTGCTCTGCCCTGGCCAGGCCAGAGTGGCTGGGTCCCTGAAAACATCAAGGGTGGTGAAAACATGCTCCACCCAATGGTTCCCTTCTCTGTGGTCATCACCTTACTTCTCAGCTTGAGCAGCCTCCCCTCCCCCAGGCAGCCTGTGCCTGGCAGGTGGTGGCTGGTGGCAGCCAGGGATGCTGCAAGGCAGGCAGCTCCCTGCAGCCTGGCAGGGGCTCACAGTGCTCCGGTGCCCAGTGCAGCACTGAATGCATGGTCAGGACACACACAAGGTAACTTAGACAACTTCTGTCCTGCCAGCTCTTTAAAAAGACCAGAATAACAACAGCAAGGACCACAGCACCAGTTGTTGATGCCTCTCCAAGTACTTGCAGCCCACTGAAAACTAACCCCACTTCCCTTTTTTTTTTTCCTCAGCCTACTCTTGCTCTTTCAGTTCTCCTTCTTCTCCTCTCAGCTCAGAACTTCTCCAGCCAGACATTATCTCTCTGCAGAGAATATAATTGCCCATGACTGCTGCTGCTGCCTTCTGCAGAAGAAAGGCCAAGACTTTGCTAATTTGACACCACCTTTACCTCATATTCCTGAAGTGGCCCCTTCTGAAAGCCATGAAATCACTGTAGGGGTTTTTTTGCCCCAGAATCTCATTCACCCACTGAACTACTCTGTCACCATGAGGAAATCATTCCACCCCTGTGTCACACCATGGAGACTGTCCCTTCTTCAGAACATCCACCCTCAACCAAGCACTACACCTAGCACAGCAAGGATCTAGTGTTGGTCAGGACTACTTCATATCATTAGAATATGTACAAGGAAAAGAGAAGAAAGATACAGCCAAAGAACTAGGGAAAAAGATAATAAATATGTGAATTCTAGCAGTAATAGTTATTTTTCATTACCAATTTTTTCCATATTAGGAACTTTTTTATGTGGTTGGATTTAATCCACTTTTACAGTGGTTTAACCTAAGCCAGAATAAGAATAAATGTGTTTACACGGAGACTTAATTCTATTAATGTCTAATAACTATTACTGGCTATTTTTTCTCTACAAATAAGAGCAGAAAAACACCTCATGCAATCTGGCATTCCTCAGCAAATTGGGAGAGGCTTATTTTGAAATCTTAAATTGGATGAGCTATTTCAATTGTCCCTGACCCTTTTCAGAGAGGTTAGACATAGGCTTGTCCAAATGCATGTCCAAGGAATATAGACAAACCTCAAAGGAGTTAGTCAGAAGGAAGTTAATTACCTGTGTGTATAGCATATCTCAAGGAGTAAAGAGCCACCCTCCTGTCTCATGACAAGTGCTAAACTCATTAATGTGATGGAGATTCAGTGTAGGACTTTGTTTCCTTTATGGATGGCTTTGTGAAAGACTGCCCTGTGTGACACAAATCCTGTCTCATGAGACCATGTTCCTGTTTGTTTTTTTTTTCTTTTAATGTGTTTCATAGAATCGTAGAATGTCTGGGCTGGAAGGGACCTCCAAAGGTCACCTAGTCCAACCCCCCTGCAATAAGGGATATCTCCAACTAGGTCAAGCTACACAGAGCCACATTCAGCCTGACCTTGAATGTCTTCAGGGATGGGGCCTCCACCACCTCTCTGGTGGTTTATCCCATATATTGCAGTGGTCTATCACCCTCATATTGAAGAACGTTTTCCTAACATCTAACCTAAATCTACCCTTTTCTAGCTCAAAGCCATTACCTCTCGTCCTGTCCCTCCAAACCCTTGTGAATAGTCCCCCCCCAGCTTTCTTGTAGGCCCCTCTCAGGTACTGGAAGGTCGCTCTAAGGTACCCCCGGAGCCTTCTCTTCTCCAGACTGAACAGCCCCAACTCCCTCAGCCTGTCCTCACAGCAGAGCTGCTCCAGCCCTCGGATCATTTTTGTGGCTCTCCTCTGAACACGCTCCAACAGCTCCACGTCCTTCTTGTGCTGGGGGCTCCAGAACTAGACACAGGACTCCAGGTGAGGTCTCCCCAGGGCAGAGCAGAGCAGAGCAGCAGGATCACCTCTCTCCATCTGCTGGCCATGCTTCTTTTGATGCAGCCCAGGAGTGGATTTGCCTTCTGGGCTGCTGCTGCACCTTGGTGGCTCATGTCTAGCTTCTCATTAACTAGCACCCCCAAGTCTTTTTGCACTGGACTCCTCTTCAGCATGTCCTCTCCAGCCTGTATTGGTAAATTCAGCTCCTCCCCAGATGCAGGACCCTGCACTTGGCCTTGTTGAACCTTATGAGGTTCACCTGAGCCCACCTCTCCAGCCTGTCCAGGTCCCTCTGGATGGCCTCCTGTCCCTCTGGCATGTCAACTGCACCACCCAGCCTAGTGTCGTTAGCAAACTTGCTGAGGGTGCACTCAATCCTGAGAGGTAAGTTGCTGTGACTGTGAACTCAGCCCAGCACTGCTTACAAAGAGAGACCTTACCAAAGGTATTGGCAATAGGTGCATTACTCCTGGAGCAGCTCCTGTGAGATGCCAGCCTGGATAACCGAACCCACACCTAAGTGCAGAAAAGGGCAGCAGCAATGACATGTTGGGTAGCCAGCTCAAGGCTGAACACACACAGGTTCTCCCAGCTACTGCTGAATTAATCAGTGAAGCTGTGGCCTTTCCAGACACTTTGCAATGCATCCCTTAGCTGCTGCCTTTTTTTTGCACCAGTACTTTGAAAATCATCTCTCCACGACCTTGCTCCATTCACAAAGCTCCCTTAATAAGTGACTCCAAGGAAGGTACGTGAATGGATTAAAGAACTGGTAAAGTTCTGAAGAATTACAATAAGTCATAAAAGTAGCAAATATTTGACCAGAGATCACCCTGTCCCATTTCTAGAATGTTCCATGCTGTTGTTGTTGGCATTCAATAAGTGGCTGCCCATCACTACAGGAATCCACAGAACTGTGGAACAGCACCGGAAAAAGGCACACAGTTGTCATGGTGACAATACAGGCAGTGTGCACCCAGGGAGAGGGAGGAAAAGCCACACAGGCCATCCCAGGAAAGATTTTCATAGTGCTAAGAATCTCTGGGTGTCCAACCTGTGGCAGCCTACAAACATGACTGATGGGCATGGGATGGTGGAGTCCTGCAGCAAGGGGAGACCCTGTCCTGGGAAAACTGGCTTGACTCAGCTCACTGAGTATGTCTGCAGTGCCAAAAAACTGTGACACAAAGCAAACAAACACAACATTTCAGTCCCCACAGCTACATCCACGTAGAGCAGAAG